ATATTTGGTGATATTACCTGTAATATAATAAATAAAATTCTTATTAGTTTATAAAGAACTTTATCTTATAGAATTCAAAATAAATTTTAATGTTTTAAAATTAAATACTCTTTTTAGAATAACTTTTGAAACTTCAGTTTAAATTTACTAAGGTTATCGATATATTTCTTTAATTAAAGAAAATGCTTCATATAAAACTCTCTGAAACATTGGATATCATTGACTTTAGAGAAGAAAATAGCTTTAGAGAACAATTTTGCAAGTTTCATTATGTATTACTTTAGTAACGATTGTGGCTTGTCATATAGTCGATCATAATTTATATGTTCAAGTCTCAGAATCGGTTACACAAGGTTCCATCTTTGGCTATTCGTATAACGTCACCTGATAGGCTAGAAATTATATTTTCCGTAGTGAACATTGCTTTAAAATCGTTGATGATTAATTAATGATAAAACATATATTATATCTAATCTAATATCTAATATCGATATCTGAAGTGTAATCAGCCGTTGACGTAGACAACGGGTATTTACTAGTTATATATTATAAATCTTGACAAATAATTTCATAGATAGAACAAAATTTTTTAATGTTACATTATATCTGAAAATTTCTATTAAATACCTAATTTATTTAACATATTATTAATTATAACGATCAATTTTGATCAATTATTAAAAAAAAATTTTTATTTAGAAGCATATTTCCATAACTATTATCGTAATTTACAGTTGCCCACTGACTTTTTGCCAGGTAGTGTACTTATAATTATTATAATGTGTAACTTTGCTTATTATGCCATAATTTTTGTCGATGCAGTTAAATTCGTATGACTTCATTCTCGATACTCGATTCAGATTTGAAAACATAGAACGAACCCGGATGACGCTCAGTGAGGCAATCTTCAATAGCCAATTTTGTAATCGAATGATGTTGAAAAAAAAATGCCAATTTTGTATATAATGGTGATTAGAAAATTAAGAATTAATAATAAATTAAAAGATTAAATAAATTAAATAAATTTCTATACGTTTCGAAAAAATTAAAATAATAATATTATATTATGCGTTTGCTATTAAAATCATAATAAATCATATGATCCGATTGAATGTTTAAATGAAAAGAATTTTTCTAATCACTGTCTTTTTTAGGAGAGGTAAAAGGACGGTATTTATATTTTAAATTTGGAGTTGTAGAGTTTTCTAAAGTAAAACCTGGCAGAAAAGATTTTTCATTCCCATTTTTATTAAAAGTGGTAGAAGATGGACATTTGTTATCAATGAAATTTTGAATTGTAAAGTTGTCTAATTTTTCTAATTCTTGTAAAGTGAAATTTTTCAAATCGTATTCTATTTCGCAAGGAACATTATTAAGAGTAAATTTTGCGTTATATATTGAGAAATTTTCAGTATTCTTTTTTTGAAGATTATTATATAAGTTGTCAACGATTTCTTCGATTCTATTGACTTTATTAGAAAATAATTCGACACAATTGTCAGTTTCCTTACAATCGGGACAAAGTTTTGAAGGTTTTCTTTTATTATCCTTAGAGAGATTGATCTTTCGAACATATGGCATCATACGTGTTTTTTTTTCATAATTTCTGTTTAACATCGTGAAATTATTATCGAAAAGAAGTCAATTCATATCATTTATAATATCTCAGAACAATATTGTGAAACATTTACTGTTCTCCTTTTTTGTTTCATTTTCGATACAAATTTATAAACAAAATATAATTTTTGACGATCATATAGTCCTATTCCACAATTTTGATCCGAACTGATTGTTGTTCATATAGAAGCTAAGGCCTTCACATAACCCTAATCCTAACTCTAATCTCAATTAGGTATCTTTAATTTTTATCTTTATATCGTGCATAAATTATAGCACATACTACGTGATTAAATTGGATAGTAAAAAATCAACATTAACTTTTTTCCGACCAAATTGAAAGATATGTACGTTTTTATTTGCTTTTTTTACATTATTTACGTGCATTTGTCTAACTTAAAATTTATTTAGCACAACACAAGTTCTAACGTAAGGTAGAAAATGCTTGGCATTCAATTCCATTTGATTCTAAGATTTCCGGGAAAACTATGAGGTTTCAACTTTACCTATATGAGATTAAGGTTTTGCCCCGCAACCTTAAATTAGTTGCAAGCATGTATAGCGGGGTAGCAAACCTGTAAAATATGATTTTGAATGTATGATAGTATGTTTCGAAGCATGAGGACAATTAATACTAGGACAATTCAATTGATCACCCAATAGAATAATATTCATAATCTACCTCTTCATTCTAAATTTGAAAGTTTAATAATAAATACTGACTTCTTACCTCCCTAATAAAATGATGATTCTAATAACAATAGTTCCAAAGAAAATTCTTTCCATGAAATACTTTCGAATATTGTGACATTTTTCGGCAAAATTAGTATTTTTAAAATATATTTATCGATTTTATATCATGTAGATTTTTGGTAATTTAACAATTCGATTCGGCAAAAATTTTCTGAATTTATAAAACTTTATGAGGTAATTTACATAATAGGCCGGATCTTTTTATCAACAAAAAATAAATTTCATTAAATCGAAATATTTCTTGTAATTACAGAGATAACTAATTTTTTTTTTCGGTATCTAATACTATGGATTAATAAGTAAATTATTATATAATTATTCGGGGAGTACTGTTGCATTATTTATTTCATTTTTAACGCAAGTTACGAGCATAGTAAATCATATGATCCGTAGTGATTTTAATAGCTTACCTCCACATATGTTTATCTCTAAAATATTTTTTTTTTTTTTTTTTTACTAATCAGTTAGTTTTTACTATAACAAACTAAAGTAAAAATATCAAGTTTGATCAGTGTCTTTAATTTGTTACGTTTGTTCGCGTTTTACTAAATTATCAATCTAATGCTGTGTAAGAACCACCTATGAGGAAAAAATATACTACGTAAATGATGATTAATTATGAAGTATTAGGAGCTTTGCTTTTAAAATGAGGTTCCGAAAAGAAAAATATTCACAAGTTAAAATTTATTTCTTACAATAATTAATTTGCTAAATTTTTAATATTTTATTAAATACTGTAAAAGTTCGTGAATTCAGAGATCTTGCCAATACGAAAAAAATCTTGATCATTGCATAAAATAAATATGAATAAATAAATCTTAATTATCTTAATTTAATATAGTCTTAACTAAATGGAAAAGTAGTAGAGGAGTAAATAGTTCCTACTGACTTTTCAAAGAAAATAAAATGTGAAATTTAAAAAAATTTATAAAGATATTTATATAAAAAATTTAATACTCAAAATGTTTGATGAAAAGCAATTTTCTACATATTTTATACGTATTTTAGAACCTTTGGCTTCTAGAATTTTAAAATCGAATATTTCATTTACTATCATCGAAATTGTTATTGTTGTCATTATTATAATTTGGTGTTGTAGAATTAATTAATTCTTCTAAAGTATTATTCGATAAATTATGTCCTAATTCGCAGGGAACATTACTAAGAACAGGGTTTGTATTGTTTACATGATTATCGGAATGGGCAGATGGTGAATTTTTATTGTTGATGGCTTGAACCGTGTCATTCACCAACGATTCTAGTTGTTCCCAATTCAAATTTGACAAATCCGTCTTCTTCTTGGGAAGATTTTCATAGAAATTGTTAACGATTTCTTCAATACTATGTAATTTATGTGAAACTAATTCTACACAATTGTTGGATGACATTGAATTGGATTTTTGAATTATTATTACTGTGCAGGAATTAAAATTTTAGTTTAGCGAAAGGTAAATTTTTTTAACGTGAAAACAAATTCTCTGTTCTTTTATAGAGAAGAAAACCTTCATTAGTCATCTCTATCATTTTATGTGTTTATATGACCATTAGGATTCTAGTCGTTTTATATTTAATACTCTAAAATAAAGTATATATGTTAAGCATCGGCGTGACTGATACGCGTCAGGAAGTTAAATATCAATAATGAAGTCTCCAAATCAGTGATACAAATATTCGATAATATTTTCTGTGTGAATTCCTGCCCCTGAACTTTGTCAGTTGTCAAATTAACATTTTAAGTTGCTTTGTAAAAATATGGAGAATATTAAATTCAGTCCGCATGAAGTTGAAATAAAATGCATGAATGAAAATAC